GCGTGACTGACAGGTGAGTGATGGCTGTGTCCGCCCTCAGTGTTCAGTCCTCCACCAAACGGACAGACAAAGATCTAGGAGTTGATATCTCAACGAACCTGTCTCCTGAAGCCCACATTAAAATAATATCATCGGCGTGTGCGAGGCTGGCTAACATCACAACTGCCTTTAGAAATTCGTGTAAGGAATCATTTAGAACTTTGTTTACCACATGTCAGACCTATCCTGGAGTATGCAGCTCTAGCACGGACTCCATGCTAAGACGCACAAGCATTAGGCGGAGCTAGAGAAGGTTCAGAGGTATGCCACTGGACTAGTCCCAGCACTAATAGGTATGAGATACGAGGGAAGGCTGCATGAATTGCACTTCACATTACTGTAAGACACGAGAGTTGAGGAGACATAACACACGCACAATTCTCAGGGTTGAATAAAGTCATTGACAGGGTAGATAAAGACATTATTTAACACGGGTGGTACTCGCACGAGGGGACACAGGTGGAAACTGATTATCCAAATGAGCCGCAGAGACATTAGAAAGATCTTTTTCTCTCAGTGTAGTTAATAAATGAATGCACTAGAAAGCGATGTGGTGAAGGATGACCCTGAAATGTAGATATGATAGAGCGCAATAAGACACGACTTTTGCAACCAAGGGAAGCAAGTCTAAACAGGGAGATCGAAGAAATACGGCAGACGCTGAAGCTATCATACCAATTAAAGGAATTGGTATTAGAACAGAAAGCTATACAAGAGATAAATAAAAATACGAAATATTTTTTCACATGCGAAATCAAAATAAAAAATCCACTGGTATTGGACATTTACTTACAACTGAACGTTCGTACACAAAGGACGACAAAGAAATTAGTGAGATCCCAAAAGGCCAGTATGAGGCTATGTTTACCACCCCAATAAACAACATGAAAGTTGAAGATCCGGACAGCTTCTTCATGAATGATATCCAAACCCCAGATAATATAACTGATATTAACACGTACTCGGAAAACTTTGAAAGAGAAAGTGACAACATGCCCATGCACGCAGCCCCTGGTCCTGACTCGTGGAATTAAATATTCACAAAGAAATGTAAAGTACCAGTAGTGCGAGCGCTCAGTGTAATATGGAGAAAGAGCCTGGATACAGGGGAGATACCAGCAGCACTTACATCTGCAGATATAGTTCCTCTGCACAAGGGAGGTAGTAAAGCGTGGCCAAAAAACTATAGACCAGTTACATTAACATTGAACAATAATAACAGTTTTTGAAAGAGTGATTAGGTATTAAATTTCCAGCTTAGGGAAAACAATGAATATCACAACCCAGGTCAACATGAATTTATAGCGGGAAGATGTTGGCCAGTGTTTTTCACAGTTGCTCAACCAATATGACAATATTACAGAAGTTTTACAAGAAAAACAAAATGCAGATGTTTTATACACAGACTTTGCAAATGCATTCCATGAAAAGTGATAGCCCATAAAATGAGATCAATAGGAATATCGGATAAAATGAAGCGTTGAATTTTGTACTTTCTATTAATCAGAATGCAGAGAGTAACAGTCAGTCAAATAGTGCAGTGAAATGCTCTGTACCCCAAAGCACAGTCTTTGCACCACTGCTCTTTCTCATTCTTATCTCGGATATAGACAAATATACTAGTTACAGCTTCGTGTCATCCTTTGCTTGATACAAAAATTTGTGTGAAAATTTACTCTGTATATGGCACTGAAAAGCTGTCTTCCGGATCTTTAATCCAGTGTGGGAAGGTCCGGTTCTGTCGTAGCTCAATCCTTTCAGCTCAGGAACGAGATTCTTGCATATCTGTGGACCTTTTCTAGTTTCTTCTTACCCATTTTCGGATAAGGGTTCCATGATGGGGATGCATATTCAAGAGTGGGTCTCGCCTTCGTTGTATATATGGCCGGAAAGCCCCCCCCCCCTTGTCCAAGTTTCTGAAGGATACAAGGATGTTGACTAATATGCCATATACAGCTGCTGTTATTCTGGTGATGTGGCCTTCTGGCATCAGATTTGGGGTTATGTCCACTCCCAGGTGTTTCTCCTTTTCTGACTGAAGAATTTGTCTTCTCTTCATTCACTACTGCAGTACCGGTCTTCACACTCCAGTTCCAGTGCTCATAACATTGCATTTGGGAAGGTTAAATTCTTGCAGCCATTTTTCAGACCGATTCTGAAGTGTGTTCAAATTCGCTTGCAATGCGTCACAATCTGATCCTGACTTCTGACTTCTCCGTGTTACATCATCTGCAAACGTTAATATAAAGGAGTCAATTTCCTGTCAGGTCATTGACATATTGGGTGTGTGTACTCACCTAGTTGAGTACACCTTGTATACCTTGTATGTGGTATACAAGGTTCTGAATGATTCCTTACACAGGTTCCTGAAGGCTGTTTTGATGTTAGCCAGCCTCGCATATGCCGCAGATGTAATTCTTTTGATGTGGGCTTCAGGAGACAGGTTTGGTGTGATATCAACTCCTAGGTAGGTTTTATGAAGTACTTCATTTTTCATTCGGTATCCTGTGTCTGGCCTCCTGTTTCCACTGCCTAGTTTCATGACCTTGCATTTACTCGGGTTGAACTTTAGTAGCCATTTGTTGGACCATTCATTCAGTCTGTCTACGTCATCTTATATTCTCCTACTATCATCCTCTGTTTCAATCCTCACCGTAATTTTAGCGTCATCAGCAAACAATGAGAGGAGCGATTCTATACCCTCTGGGAGATCATTTACATATATCAGAAACAGTATAGGTCAAAGGACTGAACTGGTGACGTTTCGCAAATCTGAGGCCTCACCCCTCACCGAGTGTGTTTTAATGACTTTAATGGTGTTTTATTGCATGTTTGATTATATTATTTGCAGCTCTCTTAGTGTGTGTGTGTGTGTGTGTGTGTGTGTGTGTGTGTGTGTGTGTGTGTGTGTGTGTGTGTGTGTGTGTGTGTGTGTGTGTGTGTGTGTAAAGGAACCCGTTCTCGCACTTGCTTCAGTCAATATTGGCTTATTTAATAAGTGCATATGTGACATACTAATTGATTGTGAATATTTTAGTTTACCTTGAAAAGCTTCATAGAAAACACCGACCTCACCTAATCTTCTCAGTATGTTAAGATAAGCATCTTATTGCTTCTTATTTACAATTATTACTTAACCTATCAACAGTATAGGTTAAGTAATAATTGTAATTAAGAAGCAATAAGATGCTTATCTTAACATACTAAGAAGATTAGGTGAGGTCGGTGTTTTCTATGAAGCTTTTCAAGGTAAACTAAAATATTTACAATCAATTAGTATGTGACATATGCACTTATTAAATGAGCCAATATTGACTATAAGCAAGTGCGAGAACAAGATGGGTGGTTGGTCCTTGTGTGTGGTGGAGCGTGAGGTGTGGAGGGTGAGGGAGGTGTTGAGGGTCAAGTACCGGGACAAGAAGGCTGGGTACACATTCCAGGTCTGAGTAACATCACGGGGCAGCTCGGGGCGGTGGTAGGCTTTCTCGTCTGCTTCACGCCTGGATTCCTGAGCTCTGGTGTGGCGCCAGCGGGACTGCCTTCCTTCGCTTCTCCACCAGGTCAGGTCCTCCGCCCCTACCTCTCCGCTGCCCGCAACCCCGCCCACAACCCCGCCCACGCCCACAACCCCGCCCACGCCGCCAGCACTGTGCATCTGACCCTATTGCATACCTAGAGCACACCTAAAGAGGGTTCTGTGAGTTCTACTCACCGAGCCCGGCCTGAGGCCAGGCTCGACTTGTGATACCTTAGTCCAACAGGCTGTTGCTTGGAGTGGCCCACAAGCCCCATATCCACTGCAACTTGGCTGATCCGGCACTTCTTGCAAGAACTTACCTAATTACCTCTTGAATACATCCACCTTTGTTCCAGCAATAATTATAATGCTTGCAAGGAGGGTGTTGAACAGCTGTGGACTTCTGATGTTCAGACTGTTCCCTGATTGTGCCTATGGCACCTCTACTTCTCACTGGTTGTATTCTGCATTTCATTCCGTATCTTTCGTTCCAGTATGTTGTTATTCTACTGTGAAAATTTGGGACTTGGCCTTTAACTATCTTCCATGTATATATTATTTGGTACCTTTCGTCTCATTTCCAAAGAGTACATTTTTAGAACTTCGAGACGGTCCCAATAAATTCAGATGTTTTATCGCTTCTGTGTATGCCGTATATGTTCTTTGTATTCCCTCTACTTCAGAGATCTCTCTTGCTCTGAAAGGGGAAGCGAGTACTGAGCAATACTGAAGACGGGACAGCACAAGGTATTTAAATAGTATTAGCATTGCTGTGGGATCTCTGGATTTGAACGTTCTCTTAATCCATCCTACCATTTTCCTGGTCGCCGCTATATTTTCTCGGTTATGTTCACTAAATGTCAGGTCGTCAGACATCATAATTCCCAGATCTTTTACATGCTGCTTTCCTTCTATGAGTAGGTGTGGTTGTGTCCTGTATCCTGTGTTTCGTTTATCATCCTCGTTTACACCATACATAAGTACCTGGAACTTGTCACCGTTAAACATCATGTTATTTTCAGTTGCCCAGTCGAAAACGTTATTAATATCTGCCTGCAGTTATTCAATGTATTCTACGGAGGAAATTTACATGCTGATTTTTGTATCATCTGTAAAGGATGACACGAACGCCCACCCCGTGGAATGAAAGTTGTGTTATTCACGTGGGTGTAGAGTATCATGGAGAGGACAGGTGTGATGGTGTACTGGGTTACCTGGGAGTTTACCTGCGGCGTCAGGCCACGTCCTATCTGGCCCTTCATCACTGTACGGTAGTTGGTGCCTCTGCTTCACCTCACATTCCCACGTCACTCTAATGTAGTTTGTCACCTTATCGCTTGTCTGTGTTCGTCCCACTGGCGCCAGCACTGGTATCTTAGTGACCATTTTGGGCTGGAGGGTCGCGGTCCGCCCGAGCCGCTGGCAGCTGGGAAGTCCTGAATTATTAAGCTTTTTGTGAACGGTCTTTGACTCCGTGCCCTTCTCTAGGGTGTGATTTGGTAAGGTACTTTGTGAAGGTCACGCCCGCTCCCTTACGGGCGACGCCAGCCCATGTTAAAGAGGCCCGGACCGCTGTGGTGCCCAGATGGGTGTGTCTAGGCGTGCTATGGTTCCAGGGGGCGTCTGTGGCTCCAGGGGTGTCTGTGGCTCCAGGGGCGTCTGTGGCTCCAGGGGCGTCTGTGGCTCCGGGGGCGTCTGTGGCTCCGGGGGCGTCTGTGGCTCCGGGGGCGTCTGTGGCTCCAGGGGAGTCTGTGGCTCCGGGGGCGTCTGTGGCTCCGGGGGCGTCTGCGGCTCCGGGGGGCGTCTGCGGCTCCGGGGGGCGTCTGCGGCTCCGGGGGGCGTCTGCGGCTCCGGGGGGCGTCTGCGGCTCCGGGGGGCGTCTGCGGCTCCGGGGGCGTCTGCGGCTCCGGGGGGCGTCTGTGGCTCCGGGGGCGTCTGTGGCTCCAAGAGAGTCTGTGGCTCCGGGGGGCGTCTGTGGCTCCGGGGGCGTCTGCGGCTCCGGGGGCGTCTGCGGCTCCGGGGGGCGTCTGCGGCTCCGGGGGGCGTCTGCGGCTCCGGGGGGCGTCTGCGGCTCCGGGGGGCGTCTGCGGCTCCGGGGGGCGTCTGCGGCTCCGGGGGGCGTCTGCGGCTCCGGGGGGCGTCTGTGGCTCCAAGAGAGTCTGTGGCTCCGGGGGGCGTCTGTGGCTCCGGGGGCGTCTGCGGCTCCGGGGGGCGTCTGCGGCTCCGGGGGGCGTCTGCGGCTCCGGGGGCGTCTGCGGCTCCGGGGGGCGTCTGCGGCTCCGGGGGCGTCTGCGGCTCCGGGGGGCGTCTGCGGCTCCGGGGGCGTCTGCGGCTCCGGGGGCGTCTGCGGCTCCGGGGGGCGTCTGCGGCTCCGGGGGGCGTCTGCGGCTCCGGGGGCGTCTGCGGCTCCGGTTATACTGTTGAAGGGGAAATGTTGGTTGTTATAACACTGGACGTGACCGGTGACCAGTTGGGTGATGGTGGCCAGGTTGTTGTGTGGTGAGGCCGGTGGACTCCACCTGGGTCATCCCCCCTCCCCCCCTCCCCCCTCCACCCCCTCCCCCGCCTCACGAAGCGCCACTTTAGAGGTGAGGGAGACGGCTGTCTCTGGGACCCGTCCCGTGACGACCCACGGTGAGTGACCTCGTGGTGACGACATTAGACGAATCTGTTCATAAAGAAGTTCAGTAATGCCCCAGGCTGGAACCTTCCCCCCCCCCTCTCAGGGTACTGAAGCTATCTTGAGATGATTTCGGGGCTTAGCGTCCCCGCGGCCCGGTCCTCGACCAGGCCTCCTTTTTCTTACACACCCCCAGGAAGCAGCCTGTAGCATCTGTCTAACTCCCAGGTACCTATATACTGCTTGGTGAACAGGGACATCAGGGTGAAAGAAACTCTGCCCATTTGTTGCCGCCTCCACCGGGAATCGAACCCGGAAAGTTTGCACTACGAATCACGAACGCAGTCTACTCACCCGTCAGACCCGATTTCAGCTGTCAGGACCCTTTGGTGATGGTGGTGTGGCCCACGGGGCCGCTCCTGGGCACCTTGTGGCGGGAAGGAACTCCCCCCCCCCCCTTCCCTCCCCCACTCCCCGTGTTTCCAACTCGTATCTTTTAAATGAACAAATCCACAAGGGCCGTGATGAGGGTTCGAACCTACGTCCGGGATGATCTCAGACGCGCCTTAGTCAACTGCGTCACGTCATAGTTAAAAGAATTGCAACCTGGAGAGCTGCTGCCCTCACAAGACTCCCGCAGCTTCTCCGAAGCACAGACCGGGGTTTTTACACAATTCCCCCCCATGCACCCGGGCTCCGTCAACCATATGTTCTACCTCTTCGCCCTTCAATACGGGAGCCTTGTGAGGGCAGCAGCACTCCAGGTTGCAGTTCTTTCATCACGACCCTTGTGGAAGTGTTCGTTTGATGCATCACACTGTTGTGACTTCTGTGTGTATCGCATCTTTTCTGGTGCAAAGCGAGCGAGTCGCCTACTGCACCACACCTTCCAGCTCCTGGTCCCTGCCTCGGGACCAGTTCAAATCATCCTAATTGCTGTTCGAATCCTCCTAATTGCTGTTCGAATCCTCCTAATTGCTGTTCGAATCCTCCTAATTGCTGTTCGAATCCTCCTAATTGCTGTTACTGATTTTCTCATTGATACATAACGTTAATGTGATTTCAGTATGTATGTATGTATGTATGTATGTATGTATGTATGTATGTATGTATGTATGTATGTATGTATGTATGTATGTATGTATGCGTGTTTCATGTGTGTGTTCACGTGCGTGTCCGTGTCCGTGTCTGTCTGTCATGCTCTAAACTAAATCCCAGACTATTTACCGACTTTATTTTTTGCATTTACGTTCTTTTTAAGCTTCGCAAAAAAGAGAATCTGGCATTGGTAAATATGGCTTGGTGATGGGTCAGGGGCCCCTTGTGTAGTGGTGGTGCCCCTGGCAGTGGGGGGTCAGGCGCCGTGCCCCTGGCAGTGGGGGGTCAGGCGCCGTGCCCCTGGCAGTGGGAGCCAGGCGCCGTGCCCCTGGCAGTGGGAGCCAGGCGCCGTGCCCCTGGCAGTGGGGGGTCAGGCGCCGTGCCCCTGGCAGTGGGGGGTCAGGCGCCGTGCCCCTGGCAGTGGGAGGCAGGCGCCGTGCCCCTGGCAGTGGGGGGCCAGGCGCCGTGCCCCTGGCAGTGGGGGGTCAGGCGCCGTGCCCCTGGCAGTGGGGGGTCAGGCGCCGTGCCCCTGGCAGTGGGAGCCAGGCGCCGTGCCCCTGGCAGTGGGAGCCAGGCGCCGTGCCCCTGGCAGGGGAGGGGGCAGGTACCGTGCCCCTGGCAGGGGAGGGGGCAGGCGCCGTGCCCCTGGCAGGGGAGGGGGCAGGCGCCGTGCCCCTGGCAGGGGGGGGGGGGCAGGCGCCGTGCCGGCACGACAGTCTCAAGGTCAATGAACTCGGCAACAGTACCGACAAACACGTGACTCATGTCCAGGACCTTGGCAACACTGGTGCTGACACGGGCGATGGTCCGTGCAGGCAACACACACACACCTGTGCACACAGATTACACACACAACATAGGTGTGTGTTGCACACACACAACACACACACCTCACACAACACACACACACACAACACACACACACACACACCTGCGGTCCTCCTCACACACCTCCTCACAACATAGGTGTGTGTTGCCTGCGGTCCTCCTCACAACATAGGTGTGTGTTGCCTGCGGTCCGCCTCACAACATAGGTGTGTGTTGCCTGCAGTCCTCCTCACAACATAGGTGTGTGTTGCCTGCGGTCCTCCTCACAACATAGGTGTGTGTTGCCTGCGGTCCTCCTCACAACATAGGTGTGTGTTGCCTGCGGTCCTCCTCACAACATAGGTGTGTGTTGCCTGCGGTCCTCCTCACAACATAGGTGTGTGTTGCCTGCGGTCCTCCTCACAACATAGGTGTGTGTTGCCTGCGGTCCTCCTCACAACATAGGTGTGTGTTGCCTGCGGTCCTCCTCACAACATAGGTGTGTGTTGCCTGCGGTCCTCCTCACAACATAGGTGTGTGTTGCCTGCGGTCCTCCTCACAACATAGGTGTGTGTTGCCTGCGGTCCTCCTCACAACATAGGTGTGTGTTGCCTGCGGTCCTCCTCACAACATTGGTGTGTGTTGCCTGCGGTCCTCCTCACAACATAGGTGTGTGTTGCCTGCGGTCCTCCTCACAACATAGGTGTGTGTTGCCTGCGGTCCTCCTCACAACATAGGTGTGTGTTGCCTGCGGTCCTCCTCACAACATAGGTGTGTGTTGCCTGCGGTCCTCCTCACAACATAGGTGTGTGTTGCCTGCGGTCCTCCTCACAACATAGGTGTGTGTTGCCTGCGGTCCTCCTCACAACATAGGTGTGTGTTGCCTGCGGTCCTCCTCACAACATAGGTGTGTGTTGCCTGCGGTCCTCCTCACAACATAGGTGTGTGTTGCCTGCGGTCCTCCTCACAACATAGGTGTGTGTTGCCTGCAGTCCTCCTCACAACATAGGTGTGTGTTGCCTGCGGTCCTCCTCACAACATAGGTGTGTGTTGCCTGCGGTCCTCCTCACAACATAGGTGTGTGTTGCCTGCGGTCCTCCTCATGAGCGTTGGGGTCAGGTCCGTGTTGTGTAGAGGCGTCCACCTCGGGGGACTAAATGTCATAACAGAGGTTCCTGTTAGAGGTTATCCGGTTCCTTTGAACGTGAACCTTTACGAAGGTCGCACTCGCTGACACCTGCTGACATACCCGCTGACACCTGCTGACATACCCGCTGACACCTGCTGACATACCCGCTGACACCTGCTGACATACCCGCTGACACCTGCTGACATACCCGCTGACACCTGCTGACATACCCGCTGACACCTGCTGACATACCCGCTGACACCTGCTGACATACCCGCTGACACCTGCTGACATACCCTGACACCTGACATACCTGCTGACATACCCGCTGACACCTGCTGACATACCCGCTGACACCTGCTGACATACCCGCTGACACCTGCTGACATACCCGCTGACACCTGCTGACATACCCGCTGACACCTGCTGACATACCCGCTGACACCTGCTGACATACCCGCTGACACCTGCTGACATACCCGCTGACATACCCGCTGATACCTGCTGACATACCCGCTGACACCTGCTGACATACCCGCTGACACCTGCTGACATACCCGCTGACACCTGCTGACATACCCGCTGACACCTGCTGACATACCCGCTGACACCTGCTGACATACCCGCTGACACCTGCTGACATACTCGCTGACACCTGCTGACATACCCGCTGACACCTGCTGACATACCCGCTGACACCTGCTGACATACCCGCTGACACCTGCTGACATACCCGCTGACACCTGCTGGCGTGCCCGCCTCACTCCCTGAAAGTCAGCCAGCCAGTTCTCTCAGTCCTTCGACAATGCAATTATTTTGACTAATCAAGCGTAAGAACCCATGCAACCCACCTAACCTATCAAGCCTAAATGCATAGAAAACGTCAATATTACGGTGCTTTAATATATACTAGCATATAATATAATATATACTATATGCTTTAATATATACTAGCAAGTGGCATTGTTAGCGGACTGGTCGACTGGTTGGTCAGTGTTTCTTGGATGACCAACACCAGTGGTGTGTGTGGTGTTGAAACACTGCTGGCAACGCTGCAACACAGGCAACACAACACAGGCGGGACCGGAAAGTTACAGTTCGCTCCTTGTTTACTCACCAGTAATTGGGAACCTGGTTGTAGACCACTTGGCAGGTTGTGTTCCAGGGAAAACTAGTAGGGTTTAGGCTTAAGATGAGCTGTTGGAAGGGAAAGCTCTTAACTAAACCTGCAGAGAGGGGTGAGAAGCCGTCCACCGTGTACTAGTGGGCTTCGTTGGCCCACATAGCTGGTCAGTAGCTCTTCTATAACTTGGGTTTCATGGAATTTCCTAAAAAGAAAATTAATTTAATTGAATTCACACAAACACGTTTTCTTCGGTATCCCCGTAATAATATTGTGATTCCCCTCTGTATTTGTACCTCAAATACTCAAATACAGCTACATACCTGCTGCATGGGTAACAGCTTCTTCCCCGAATCAATTTACCCAGGCTTTACGCCCTTGTGAGGCCACTCCAGACCGACAACCAGAGCTCAACTCCATAGTCTCCTGAAACTGATGGATGCCTACTGTACCTGTGTATGTAGCTGTATTTGAGTCTGTGAATCTGGACGTGTCTGTCTCTGCCTTTGCCTGTAAGTATGACTGACTGTATCTGTACCTGCGTGTCTGTATATAGAGGGACCCCAAAAGCCGCCCTCACAAGCATGGTGGGCAAGGAAATAAAAAAACATTTATATTAGAGCTTCCAAAACCAGGTTGGCAGTGTTGAGGGCGTCGCTCGCGCTCCCTGACGCTGAATACTGAGGCGGGATAGTACCCATAGTTAACACTTTAACTTGTTTAACTTGTTATTAAGTCTGGCTGGCCAGACTTGTAGTCTAACATGGTGAGCTCAGTCGCTGCCAGGAAGATCCCCATCAACTGTACCCGAACAATTCTGGAGTTAATGGCAATACATCTTAACCGAAATAATTCCTTACAAGAATGTACGAAGCACCACGAGGGTAAGGCCAGGTGTTGGTACACTTAAGGGATAAAGAGAGAAAATCCACAGGAGACGTGATTAGGATTCGAACCTATGCGTTGGGTGCACTGAAGGGATAGTTCCGTAGTGGTCTCAGTACTCCAGCTTAAGGACCACGGGCGGCTGCCACCATGGCAACGTCTGGATGGAATTTGATAAGTTCCTGCAGGAAATCCTTGTCCAGTCGGGGCCCGCCCGCACCTCGGCCTTCAACCTGGAGCGGTCACACGCTAGGCAGTCTGCCCTGACCCCTACACGTTACCTGTGGCTGGTTTCGAGTCTCCTAATATCCTATGGGTGTACATTAACATGCTTTACAGATCTGAAGACTTGTGATACAGCGACACGGAAAATACGTGACTGGCGACCAGGGAACAGATTTGTCTACACACCTGCCAGGAGGCCACTTATTGAACCACTTGTGATACACAAGACTATTAGTGCACACATGTTGTACAAACCACTTATCCTAATCCTCAGTTCTTCTGATAGATTCACCTACACTAATTCAAGGCATCGTGGAGGACATGGATAAAATCAATCTAGTTATTCCCATGAAAATGAGAACGTACGGTAAGAGTGGCATATGTAATAAATGCACTTTGTAGGAATACAAGATGACTCGGGTCTTAGAGAGAACAGAGAACTAAGAACTAAGGTTCTTAGAGACTCACTCACTCACTCACTCACTCACTCACTCACTCACTCACTCACTCACTCACTCACTCACTCACTCACTCACTCACTCACTCACTCACTCACTCCCCGCCAGGTGTATCACCATAACTTGTGTGATGAGCGTCTTGCTGAGAGCACAGCCCCGCCTCTAGATAGACTGCCAACGCCGCCTTTGTTGTCGTCGGAGTGTTGGGTTAGGTTATGAGTGACTAGGCGCTATGTAACGACGCGTCTCATTGGTCTAAACACCACGCAACGGTTTTCATAATTCACACTGCTATCGGGAAGGAGCAAAGTGTAGAATAGTGAATACAAATTAAGGTATATAGATTGGTGAAAATGGGAGATATGGGTCTACTTTTCTGCTTAAGAGTGTATTGATCTTTAGTGTAGACTATATAACGTATGACTTGTGTAATTTGGTTAGTCCTAACACTGTTGTATTAAGTATTTATTGATTAATTATATTGGTATTAAATTACTTTCTGCTACGTGGCAAATATATCCCGTTTTCTAGACGAAATCGCCACGAATACAGTTTTCTTTTGAATGGGTAACCCATATATTAATGTAATTTTAGATGAATACAAAACGGCATTATTATTATTTTCTGCATATTGTATTAGAATTGAATAATGTTGTGGGGGAATTTCCGACACTACTCGCAGGTAGCAAACTGGGGGATAGTTGGCTAAACTTTCTGGCATCGTGTTGAAACTTGGCTTCAGTTTGAACATGAGGCTTATTAAACTTTAAGCATCATGTGAAACAAAACTCTGCCCAGTTGTTTTTCTGTCTCGGCAGGGGGAATCGAACCCTGTGCCCCTTCGACTGCGAGTTATCCCAAAATGATAATTAACAAGATCCTTCAAGGATCCGATTTAATATTCACTCCTTCCCAGAATTAACTAAATGGTCAAGTGGGAAGGATCGCGGGTGGGGCAGGGAGGGAGGGAATTATCAGGGGGGAAAGCGCAAAGCCATTACGACTATACAGTATAGCACTGGGAAGGGGGTCAGGATAAGGATTTGGGATGGGACGGGGGAAAGGAATGGTGCCCAGCCACTAGGTAGAAATAGAATACGCTATTCTATCCTTTTGAGATAGAGATGAAGGATAGATTGAACGCCGACCTGCATGAAGCGAGACCGTTACTCTACCGTCCATCCCAAGTGGTTGGACAGTTGGGGAGGGAGAGGGAGTGACCATCTTGGTAGCCCCAGCGAGGACTACAGACTCACTCACTCACTCACTCACTCACTCACTCACTCACTCACTCACTCACTCACTCACTCACTCACTCACTCACTACCCGCCAGGTGTATCACCATAACTTGTGTGATGAGCGTCTTGCTGAGAGCGCAGCCCCGCTCCTGTGCCAGGTAAGTCCACTACGGGCTCACCATAGCCCGTGCTGCTTGGAACTTCTTATCCCAAGTGGCGAATCCTAAACAACGACAACAACGTCTTGCTGAGTCATTACTGTCTGAAGTGATCCCGTCGTCTCCTGGGAAGTAACAGTATCCCGTCTCACTTGTCTCTCCAGATGTTGTTAAAGATTCGCTACTTAGAACAAAATGTCCCAAGTAGCACGGGCTATGGTGAGCCCGTAGTCTCTCCAGATGTTGACCCATAGTCTATGTAGACTTTAGAGTCACGGGTTGTGCCACAGGCTAACTTAACAAGTACGCATTGCCAGTAATTTCTTTATAAATACTTACATAAATTAATGTTATTCCTTGTGCTTTACGACATAATAACTGGTTGGTAGACTTAAGTGACCTCCAGACATCAGTACGACGCCACGATCTGGGAGTGGCCACCTCGCTAGTTAATGACGCCCCTAGTAACCAGGGAGCCAGATTCACGAAAGCACTTACGAATCTGTACATCTTTTCTCAATCTTTGGCGGCTTTGTTTACAATTATTAAACAGTTAATGAGCTCCGAAGCACCAGGAGGCTGTTTATAACAATAACAACAGTTGAATGGGAAGTTTTCATGCTTGTAAACTGTTTAATAAGTGTAACCAAAGCCGTCAAAGATTGAGGAAAGATGTACACGTTCGTAAGTGCTTGCGTAAGTGCTTTCGTGAATCTGGCCCCAGGGGGCCTGATTCACGAAAACACTTACGAACCTGTACATCTTGTCTCAATCTTTGGCGGCTTTGTTTCCAATTATTAGACAGTTAATGAGCTCCGAAGCACCAGGAGGCTGTTTATAACAATAACGACATTTGATTGGCAAGTTTTCATGCTTATAAACTGTTTAATAAATGTAACCACAGCCGTCAAAGATTGAGGAAAGATGTACACGTTCGTAAGTGCTTGTGCAAGTGCTTTCGTGAATCTGGCCACAGGATTATATCTACTAAACTAATCTGTCTTTACTAACCCAAGAGTATAGCAGGGATAATGAAATAAATGAAAATTATTAAAATAAACATTAATAGTAAATTCATTTTACTTGCTTTATCCTAATCTACTAACAATATAAATCCCACTAATTTGTAGACTTATTTTTAAGGAGAATTTTAAAATACAGACCGCTAATTTATTGAGTATACAGTCCATAATTAAAGTTAAAATAAAATTAAAATAAATCTCTCTTGCAAATAATACATCGCACTTGTCCACCTCGTGTATGCCCCCGTAGGATCTTGCATGTTGTGATCATATTCCCTGTTTCTTCTCTCCTCCAGGGTTGTGAGAGTTAGCTTAATCCACTAAGCTCTGTTACTAAAGTGATGCAGATCTCTGCACTTTTTAAATCTTCCTTTTCTTGGTGCGGATTTCAGGCCGGCGCTACATACTCCAGTACTGGTCTGATGTAGGTTATGTAATATGCTTTGAAAGAGTCGTTTATTTAAGTGTCTAAACGAAGTTGTAATGTTTGCCAGCTAACCCATATGCTGTCGATGTTATCCTGTTAATGTGTGCCTGTGGGGGAGCTGCCGATATTATCCCCACTCAAACCTTATTTATTTTGTATTTATTTATTTATATACAAGAAGGTACATTGTGTTT